GTCTGTGCATTTTATTTCTATATAACTTGTTCCTTTTTGTGTTTATTATTGGGATGTTTGATACAGAACAATGGAGAGAAAATAACAGTATAGCAATGGACCATGCTTAATTAATTCATTCATAAAACATATAATAGGCATCTACAATAGATAGAGTACTCTTCCAGGTACTGAGAGAGAGAAATATTTTGAATAAATGGGGTTTGCTCTCATGGAACCTATGGTCTTATAGAGAAATATAACATATATGTAAATTACTCTGCTTCTTACCCCTGCCCCCTCCTTTTGGTCTTGATCAGGGATTTCATTCATGTAGAGAACTTCCAGGGTAGAAACTTTCCATAGATGCAGAACTAGTATATAACCTAAATTCTTAATTAGAGAGTTGTCTAAGACGCTGAGAAGTAGACTGAGAAGTAGTCATATGACCTTACAGTCTGTGTGGGATAGAGGCAAGAATTGAGCCTAGGTCTTCCTGACTCCAAGGGTGACCCTTCACCTATTATAAAATGCTGCATCTTACTATCAATCAGCTGACAAGCATTTATTAATCTCCTACCACATGACAAATACTTTGCTACATTCTTTTGACACAAAGACAAAAATGAAATAGTCCCTGGAAGATAAAGCATTTGAGCTGTCTTTTTTTTTTTTTTTGCTGAGGTAATCAGGGTGAACTGACTTGCCCAGGGTCACACAGCTAGTAAGTATCAAGTGTCTGAGGCTGGATTTGAACTCAGGTCCTCCTGATTCCAAGACCTGAGCTCTAACTACTGTGCCACCTAGCTGCCCTTGAGCTGTCTTTTAAAGGATGGGTAGATATCAAGAGAAGGGGGAATGGTAGGGGATCCTGAGAAAAGAATGGACATTGCAGGTCTTGGGAGGGGGAAGCAAATAAGCAAAAATGTGGAGAAGCCTGTGGGGATCCACAAGGTATTCAGATTGGTTGGATTGTAAAGTGATGATGAGATTCTCTTATTGGTAAATTAGGGCATCAACTTACTAAAATCAGACAAATAACCAAATCCAATAGGTTGTCTTATCTAAGAGGAAGAAGAGGAAGGAGAATAAGAAGAAATATTATTGAGCTCCATTTTTATCAGATTACCAAGGAATAATTATTGTCTCTGTTCTGTACAAAGTACTTATCATAGGTGATACGAGAGATACGAAGAAATATTAAAGATCATTATTACTATCAAATGTATATGGATATGGTAGAAAGAAGGTGCACATTAAATGAAAAACCTACAATAAGGGATAATATATAAGTTTTGAATTAAGGAAAGGTGTTCTGTGGGAGGGTTCAACAGTGCCTAGAACAAACTTTTGAAGGGTGACTAGAATTTGGACGCATAAAATTTGCATTAGAAGAAAGCAAGCTTTTCAAAAGTGTATATGCCTTGGGAACTCGGCATATGGGTGGCTCTTGCATCTTTGGGTCAGTAGTATTCTGTAAACCTCCTTGCTCCATTTAGTATTTCACATGGATCAGCTGTTCATTTTCATTTTTTGCCCTCAACACTGTTCCAAATGAATAGTGCCAAGTGATTACAAATTAGTACATAAAAAGCACTAAGTAAATGCTTGTTGACTTGAATACAGTTTTTGATATTTACTGAAGGATAAATAATACTTCCTTGGATAGCATTTTGGTTTCTAGGTAAGGAACATAGAAAACATATGGAGGTTGGATGAATGAATGCAGGATGCTTGGCCTGGACGGAATATGACTTGAGGTGTACTTGAATACTATCTCAAAATATTTGAATAGCTATCATATGAATAGGGGGTTGTATTTGCTTTACTTATCCCCCAGTGGGAAGAATTAGGAAGACCAAGTTGAAGTGGTAGGGAGACAAATGTAGGCTTGTTGTAAGACAGAGTTCTCCATTAGGAGACTGATCTTCCTGAGGTAGAAACAGATTTTCTGTCATTGTAAGTCTTCAGGAGAAGTTGGATGGCTGGCTATATGCTATCCCCACTACATGGAGATTTATGGAGGGAATTATTATTCAGCTACAGATTGGAAAAATGTTTTTTGGGGGGGCAATTTCACCCAATTAGATTTGTTAAGTCCATAATCATTAAATTCCTATCCCTGCCCAAAGACATGTGAAACCAAGGATTTCATGGTTGCTGGTGTCCTCCACACAGCTAACAAAGGAATTTTTCCTAAAGTAGAGGCCACAGTCATACCCATACTCAATATATTCCCATGGCTCCCTATTACATCTATGGGAAACCAAAACAAAACATAAATTCATTGGCTATTTAAAGCTTTTTAAAACCTGAGTCCAACCTACCTTCTCACCCTTATGACCCATTACTCTCATTCATGCAATTTATCATTCTGTCATATTGGCTTTTTTATGATTCATCATACACAACGATTGAATTCCTGACATTATACCTTTGCACTAGCTGTGCCAAGTGTCTGGAATGCACTCTCTCCTTACCACTGCTTAAAATTCCTGGTTTCCTTCAAAACTCAGCTTAAGCTATTCAAAGTTGCTTATTTTTAGAGTGATGTTGTTCTAGTATAAATTGTTTTCTGGCTTCTGCTCAGTTTACTTTTCATCAGTTCATACATGTCTTCCCAAATTTCTCTAAAACTTCCCATTCATGGGAGAAGGGAAGGAAATAAACATTTATATAGCACCTCCTGTATGCCAGGTACTGTGATAGGTACTTTTTTTTTTTTTACAAATATCTCAAAATGATCTTCATAGCAACCCTGAGAGAGAGATAGAGAGATGATATTATCCCCATTTTGCAGTTGAGGAAACTGAGGCAGACAGCCTCTCCCCAGGGTCACATAGCTAGTAAGTGTCTTGGATTAGATTGAACTCAGATTTTCCTGTTTCCAGGTCCAGCACTCTGTCTTCTGAACTACAAGCCGCCTAAATATGGCAATAGCATGGCATGATAATATTCCTACCTTCACATAACATACTTTGTTCCCATTTTGATATGCATCCCCTTTACTTTCCAGTACCTTGTCATCATAAAATGATTAAAGAGCTCTGATAATGACCTATCCCAGTTGCAGAAGATCAATGCTATTAACTATCCCAGGCAGAGAGGTGATGGGCTAATTATGCAGCATGGGGCACACATTTTTGGACACGGACAATGTGGGAATTTGCTTTGCTTAACTCTAAATATTTTTATAAGGATTTCTTTCTTTTTTTCCTCCCAGTGTTGGAGGTAGAAGGGAAAAAAAGATAAATGCTTATTATATGAAAATAATAATTTTAGAGACATATTAAGTACCACCTTCTACATGAAGCCTTTCCTGATCCTCCAACCACTAACCTTATATCTGTTTTGTACCTAGCTATCCATGGTGACCTCCCTTTGAAGCTTCTTAAAAGCAGGGGCTATTTCTCAGTTACCTTTTATTCACACACTAAGCTTGGTGTCTGATATATAGTAAGCATCTAACATCTCATTTATGTGTACAAAATATATACAAGGCTATTGGGGGTGGGGGGAGAGAGACATTAGCAACTAGGAAATCAGAAAAAGATGCATGTAGAAGGTAGCATTTAAGTTGCCTCAATGAAAAAAAATTAAATTTTACTTAAATGTATGTATATATGCATATGGATAAATAGTTTCTGGAGGTGGGTACTAGAAAATAAGGTGATCAGGATGCATTTCATAGAGGTTGCCCCTGAGAAGACCCTAGAAGGAAGTTAACTTCATCCAACTCAGAATTCATGTGTTATTCAGCTTTGGACTTTAATGAACTTCCTATCACATGATGCTTCTATACTCATGCTGATGAATCTGTGGAATTTTGGAAAAAATGAAGTAACCACAGTGTCAGGCACCAGTAAGGAAGCTTACTAATGACTTGTATATTTTAGTTGGAAATCACACTCAATATTTTGTTCTAAATTGCCTTGATTGTTTAAGGCACCCAACATCATGTTGAGGACATTTATAAAGAGCAATGAAAATGTTAGGATTTGGATAAACAAAAATGTTAGGATTTAGGATAAGTATATTAAAACTTCTACTTTGTAGTAGAAGAATAATGTTCCTCATAGAGTACACATACACACACACACACACACATCGAAGTGTAAGATGTTCTGAACTATAAAATGTGCATCATTCATTACTGTACACCGAGCAAGTATTGAGTGCCTACTGTGTTCAGAACACTGAACTAGTTGTTTAGAGGGATACAAATTTTACACAAGAAATGATCCCAGACTTCCAAGAAGAAGAAATTTTATGAAGAAAATAAGTCAACAATATAGATAATTATAAAGCACAACCACCTACTTCGTGATGGCTGAAGGGAAAGGTCTGGCTGAACAGGAAGATGAGGGAAATCTTTCTGTACAAGATGTGACAAATATACAATGAGTGGTTATAGAATCAGAAAGTCTGAGTCAAGTTCTAGCTACTAATTATTTATTAGACACTTGACCCTGGGAATCATTGAGCTTCAAGCCTTAGTTTCCTTATCTGAAAAATTAGGAGAAGCATACTCTACTCATGTGAGAGAGTCATAAAAAAGAAAGCAGTTTAGAGACAGTTTAGAAAGCTTTGGGAACTATTTAGCCTACTTGGAGAAACACACTGCTATACATATGTACATTTCCTATATGAATTGCTTACTGTGTTGTGATTGTATTTTACATGCCAGGGAGAACCAAGAGGAAGAATTCAGACTGATTTGTAAGGAGCTTGTTCTTAGTAGTCATAAAGGAAGGGAATTTTGCTTTGTCACAAGTGACTGACCCCTTATTATGAAAGATAATGAATCATCCAAAGTTAAAACATGAGATAAGTTTGGGGGGTGGGAGGAATTTGTTTTAAAAAATGACTTTACAACCATTTCCTTTTGAGTTATGACTTCTAAAACTGGAATGTGATCCAGAATAGTTTTCTCTTTGAAGCCAACATTTGTCTTAAGAATTTTTATTGTGTCTCTTCCCCTCAACCCCATCCCTGTTTCTTCCCTCCTCTCTCCTCTACAGATTTACACTGACTGGGCTAATCACTACCTAGCTAAATCTGGCCACAAGCGGTTGATTAAGGATTTACAACAGGACATTACAGATGGAGTACTGCTAGCAGAAATCATTCAGATCATCGGTAAGACCTGCACTCTGAGAGAGGGCATGAACAGGCATGTTGCATGGTGAAATGTGATGTAAGTTTAATGTACCCTGAAATGAACCCTGCAGAAATACATCCTGATGTGGCCATATGTTTCCAAGTCTCATACGGTTCTGCTTCAATTTAATTTAAAAAATGTTTACATGAAGATGTTTGCAAGAGGCTGGTGAGCCTATACTTTCAAAATGGCTAGAATTATTTGGTCACATTTACTGAATTGTCAGAGATGAATGCTTCCTGAAACCATATGTCTCCCATGTGTGCATTTTCTGAGCTGGAGTGGCTCATGCTTTCTGGGATTCCTTGAAATTGTATCCCGATCCTGTGCAGACAATTGTAGAGGGTTTCATGTCAGCAGTCATTTGGCACCCGTTAGAAAATTAGCACACCCTTCTTCACACCCCCGTTCTTGCATGATTTGTGCATGGGGAAGTGCCGGTCGCTAACAAGTGTGCAAATCTTGAAAAAGGAAGTCTGCAGAAAAAACAAAACCAAACAAAACAAAGCATTTTTTTTTTCCTGGGGGTTTTATAGTCTGTGATATTTTCCTTCATTCCTCATTTCCTTTTTGTTTTCTCTTTTTACTTACATCCTCAAATTTAGCAAATGAAAAGGTTGAAGATATCAATGGATGCCCCAGGAGTCAATCTCAAATGGTAAGGATTAAATTTATTCTTGGTGTGTGTTCTCTTTTCCTCATGACCAGAGCATTAGAAGAATGAACTTTTAGAATCAAAGTGAAATGTGAAATGCCTTTAGATACTTCTTGGTCACAGGTCCCATTCTGTCAGTTTCTGTCAGTATAAACCCATAGCACAGGATGTAGTAGTAATGGTTACAGCATTTTGTTTTGTGTGAATGCTCATTAACCTACCTCCAGATGTTTTGTCAAATCCTGAACTTAAGAGTTTCCTGATTTTTCTGGCTAATTGAATTTAGCTTTGGTATTGATGTCAATAAATCCCATAACCAATTTTAAGTGGAGCCTTTTTGTCTGAACAACTGGTTTGAAGACTAGGATTTGCCAAGTGCTTTTTTTTTTTTTATAAATAGCATTTTGACTTGTATATGACAAAGTCAAATTTAAACACACTGCCTCCTCAACACTTTTGGAAATAGAACTAAAAACAAGCTGCTGGAAGATCACTAAGCTATGATTAGAAGTTAGAGATGACTAACAACTTCTTCAAGGATCTTGTGTATGAAATGTATTATTTCCCACCCTGTCCCCCTCACCCTTGCTAACTAGTTATGTTCAAAGCAAATCTCATTGCAGCAGACTTTAGAACGGAATAATGAAACTATTTGAATGAAAGCAAAATGTAACCTCTCCTTCCTCATTTTTGCCATCAAGCATTCATTTTTTTGGTGAAAAAGAAAAATATGAAATACTTAAAATGAAAAGGTATCAAGTGGGTTAGCTCTTATTTTTTGTCAAAAGCCTCTGGGTCCATAGCTGTCATTGTAATTGGTCTAGCACAGTGCTCAGCACACAGTGAGTACTTAACACACATGCTTGTTAAACAAATGAATCAGTTATAATGAGCACACAGTAGGTGTTTAATACATGCTTGTTAAATGAATGAATTAAGAATAAATAATGTCAAGGACTAGGGGAAATTTCAAAAAAAGTAATTCTTTGAACCAGAAAAGAATTGTGGAAAGAGTGGTAGACCTCGTGTTGGGAGGCTTAAGATCAAATCCTGGCTTTGAAACTTTTTAGTTGTATAACCAAGGACAAGTCACTGAACTTCACTGAACCTCAGTTTCTCTATTGTTTAAATCTAGATAACAATACTTGCACAATCTCCCTTACAAGATATTTGTGGAGAAAAATGCTTTATAATCTTGAAACTGATATTTAAATATTCATTTGATCTTTTTTTATCATTTCTATTGATATGCTACCTTGTGTTCATGAATCTTTAGCAATCTCAAACTGAAAAAAAACCCTAAAATACATTTTATTTTAAAAATCATCAGTTAACTATTTTATGTAGATTTTTGTGAAATACTGCAGTGATCTCATATAGTACTTACTATGAGAACTCAAGAAAAGAAAAGGTATGCTCTATAGATAATTAGTCTAATAGAGGAAGGTCATTGATCTGGTTGCTTTCAGAAATAAGCTACACTTTGTGAATCAGTGAGATGTGCTTTCATGGACTTGATCCTTTAATGATGCCTATAATTTCATTTCAGAAATTTATATAATAGCTGGAAATCAGATTTTCATATTATCATAGATTTAGAGCTGGAAAGGAGATTGGATATTGCCTAGTTTAACTCTCTTATTTTATAGATGAAGATTCTAAAACTGTCGTTAGAAGTGACCTTAGCTTAGTTCCCTCATTTTATAAATGAAGACACTGTGACAGAGACAGAATTGGAAGGCATGCTCCAGGTAGCTTAATCCAACATCTTTTTTTTTTTTAAGATGAAGAAACTGGGATAATAAGCTTAGAGCAGGAAGGGACATTAGAGGTCATTGAAACTAACTCTCTTCTTTTACATATAAGGAAACTGAGGCTCAAAGAAATTAAGTGACTTACAGGCAGGAAGTGTCTAAGATATAATCCAAACTCAGCTCCTCTGATTATAAACCTGCTACCTTGATAACCCAGGAGTGTGAAGGGACAACCCCTCATCACATAATTAATAGGCAGCCAAGCCAGATTCTCAAGTCTTCTGTTTCTAAATCCAGTATATATTGATGACGAAACCTTCTTAGACATGTCGGCATTCTTTAGTTTTATTTCAACATCAAATAAAAACGGTGTTCTGCAAAACTATGTTTTGGAAATCTCTTAAGAATTCTGTTAATTTGCTTATTTGAGTGTGACAAAATAGGATGCAGGGCTAGACCACCAGATCTGAAAGCAGGAAGACTCAAGTTCAAATTTGGTCTGAGACACTTGCAAGCTATGCGACCCTGAGCAAAGCATTTGAATCACTGCTTGCCTCAGTTTCCTCATCTGTAAAATGAGACTAATCGCAACTATTTCCCAGAGTTGTTGTGAGGACCAAATGAGATAATAATTGTAAAGTGTTTAGCATAATGCCCGATGTAACATAAATGTTATTATTTTATAATTTTAACAAATTTACAAATGTATGTATTTATATAAATAAATTTATAATAAAATCATAAGTTCTATTATTATAAACTTTGGGTAAATAACCAGTCCATTAAATGCTTAACTGAAACTTCCACATAGGAACAGTTCGCACATTTGGCTTTGGAATTTTCTGAAGAGTGAGCTTACCTTTGAAACTGTTATTCTTTTTACTGCTTCTGTGTGTGAGGGATATACAAAAAAATGGATTTTTGTAGGTTATGTTCATGCAAAGCTTGTATAAATGGAAACTAGGAAATGTGTCTATATCAGCTAAGAAAAGGATTAGTTTGAGGTTTCACTGAAAGTTTTGTTGGCCCTGATTCATCAAATCTGTTTGGCAACCTTAATCTATAATTATCTCTGCCATTAGTATGATGTCATAGAAGAGCTTATGAAAGAATTGCATTCTCATTGGTTGTGCTATTTTTTCCCCCTCTTTTCTTCTTATGAGCTGCAATTATATTAAAGAGTAAGGACAACATGGTGCTACAGACTCAGGAAAGAATACAGGATATAAGGTTAGGGAAGCCTAATGAAGTCAGCTGATTAATATCCCAACTACCGATGCACAGAATCCTGCCTGGATTATAGTGAGTAATAGACAAGTGAGGATATACATGATGGAAGTTCTGGAGGGGGTGGTTCTGTTTCTAAATGCCTCGATAGGAAGTTAGTGTCCATTGAATGTCACTGTTGTTTTGTACACTGGATCTGTGACTTTCTTGGGATAAGAAACCCCCATTGAGAACATCCTTCTAACCAAACCAGCTCAGTACCTATACTTCAGTTTGTAGCCTTAGAGAGCTGCGAATGCTAAAAGTCACACACATCCAGGTTAGATAAGAGGCAAGACCTGAACTCTTGAGTCTTTCTGAATTGGAGACAAGTTCTTTATCCCCTGTATTATGCTGTTTCACCATTCTTTAATGTGTAGGTTCCAATAACTTATATTACCCCCTCTTAAATGGTTATAGATGAATGTCCTCTTTTGATGATATAAAAAAAATTCCTTGTATCCAGAGAAAGAACTGAGAAATAGAAGTATGTATAGAATTATTTTATGTGTGTGTATGTATGTGTGTGTATTTATATATAATTTGTGTCCAATGGTGGCCATCTCTAGGGGGAGAGGAGGAGGAAAGATAAAAAAGGGAAAAATGAAATTGACATGTTTAACTTTGTTGTATATTTAAAAAGAATAGCAAGTTGTACATAGTAGATGCACAGTTTTGTGTACTATCATCTGTTTTATTGCAGTATGTTATGAAAAAATGTTTTGTTCCATAAATTAAAAATAAATTATTAAAAAAAATAGATGGTCTACTTGACAGCCCAAACAGACACAGAAGTATGAAAGCAACCTTGACATTAAAGATAACCCTGACATGCATTTTCTGGTGTGACTCACTGTATCCCTTCTCATTATTGGGCAACATTGAAGAGTTGGCATATTGTGTATATTTGTTAGTCAACACTCAGCATTTATGGGTTTCCTATCCAGGAAAGTCTCTATAGTCCTGGAAAGCCTGTTAGATAGTACTCTAGTGAAATACTAGTTAAGCACTTCATAGTTGCAAAGCTCTGTTTAAATGAAGGATATCACGAGTCGATTAGAAGACAGTAGAAAGGAATAGTACATAGCAGATTTGTAGTTTCATGTACAATCATCTTTTTTATTGTATTATGTTATGGAAATGCTTGTTTTATTCTATAAATTAAAAAATAAAATAAAAAAATAATATAGAAGTTGATCATTAGGGACAGCTAGGTGGCACAGTGGATAGAATGGGCCTGCAGTCACAAAGACTCATCTTCCTGAGTTCAAATCTGGCCTCAGACACTTACTAAGCTGTGAGACTCTGGGGAAGAGATTTAACTTTGCCTCAGTTTCATGATCTGAAAAACAAGCTGGAGAAGGAAATGGCAAACCACATCAGAATCTTTGCCAAGAAAACCCCCAAATGCTGTCGTGAAGTCAGACACGACTGGAAAAAAAAGACTGAATCACAACAGGAAGCTGATCCTTAAAGGACGCAATGAATGGAGGTGGGGGGGGGGGAATAGAGCAATTTTTAAAGTTCCCCTTTTCTAAGAGTAGGAAGAATGAAAGAGATACACCCATTCCAAAATATCTCAGCAATGGAGATACTTTTAAAAATTAGAAAAAAAAAAACCCTGTTCATTCTTTGGGGGCCATAATGGATAGATGGCTGGCCTCCAAGTTAGGAAGACCTAGGTACAAGTACCAGCTCTGTTGATAAAATGTCTTTCTCACCTTAACTGCTCAGTGCCTCAAGCAGCAATGCAGAGCAGGTACTGAGCTACTTCAGTAGAGCAAGCTTTGTAACTGTGACTTGATTATAACAAGGAAAACAGAGATCAAGAATCTTGTCTCTCCCCTTTCACCCTTCTACCCATTCCTTAATATGATACAACAAAGTGTAAAAAACTGAAAATTGTAACTGGAGATTTAAGCATACTGGGGAGTGGGGAAGAAAGAGAAAGGCAATTCATAGAAGCCAGTTTCCCAGAAGTTT